TATTGGCGCTTTCTTGTATTTGCTCTCATTCCCGAATTCGGGTTTTGATATGGGAGGTATTTCTGACTTTAGTACTATTTTCCATCTTCTTGGCCTGCCCAGCCGCCTCCCTTCCGAGGGCTGGCGTTCCCCAGGAGCAGCTCAGCAGAAACTCGCGGCTGTGCCTCCGGGCGCCCTGCTGCCGCGCGGAACGCCCCGACGGCTGCTCCCGCTGTAGGGTGGAGAGATTTGCGGTAGTGGAACCTCAGAGGCTGTCGCTTCCCGCCCAGGCTTTGTGTGGGCCTTTAGTCTGAGAGCACCGCCGCAGGACTCTGCAGTCTCTTCGCCAGGAAGCACCTCTCGTCCCCGGTCTACCTCAGCCCTTCCCAAATCGTCGTAATAATTTCTGATCAGTAGAAGCAGCGGTCAAGGGTCCCGTTCCCACCTCCCAGCGTTCACAGGAGGCAAAGAGACAGACACGCTCCCTCCTTGGCTCTCCCCCGAGACTGGGCTCTTCCACGCTTCTGGACATTCCCTTTTCTTCCTTGAGTTTCTACTTAGCCGCCCGCTGGACCCCTCTTTTACAACATTATGTAAACCCAGCCGGCCTCTGGGTTCCGCCAAGTGGGCCCCAGTAATCAGCCGAAGTGGAGTTATTTAAACAGGCCATCTACACAATTCAAGCAAACACATTCTGGAGAGGGTTTTGGCCTGAAACACGCGCGTAATTCTTGTTACCACCCCCCCGGGTTTTTTTTTTCTTTTCTTCGAGCTCGAGCATGGAACTAGCTTCCTGTGGCAACATTTGTGTATCATGGCATTTGACCTTAATATATTTGAGGGGAAACAATATCATTCATCCCAGACCTCTGAATCTTAGTATATTTAGCTGAGATTTTATTTGCGTTTCTTCCCTGAGTGACTCTAAATTCAGTGGCTGTCCCTTTCATTTAAGGCAAGTATCTAAACGCGTTGGGATGTTCAGAGTCAAGGGTGAGCCCGAGGGCTGGGTGGTCACACAGGTGGCGCGGGCGAAGCAGGAACTTGCAAACAGGCTTTTCTGAGGTTGTTCGTAGGCTCAAAGCAAGTTTGAGGGGCACGCTGCTTTTCCTGTCCCTATATTTGGGTCTCTTACGCAGTCTCACAATTTGCCAAATCACTTTCTTTTTCAGTTAAAATGCAAATCATTATTTTTCAAACACAGCCCCTTCCCTCCAAATATGTGTACTGTGCAAAGGTGGGACCCCGAGCGTCGCGACCACGTGCTGTTACACTTTCCACTCCTGGCGGATGGCCTAGAAATGTCTGCCTTTATTAGGTCATGGACAGAAAAGCATGAGAGCTAAAGGTTTCTGAAGGAAGAGTAAATCCTGACTCTCCAGGATGTTCGTAATCAGGGTATAAGACCTCGACCAGAAACCCGCTTCCCGCTTCAACACACGGATTTGTATTTCCAGGGCTCGGCGCCCCAGGGTGGTTTAAGCCTGTCAGGGCCAGGACCACCTCACCCAGGGAGTGTCGGGGGCAGCCCTGCCCCACCCCTCGGAGGATGCCCGTCGCTCTCCCGGCTGCCAGCTGTGGACAGACCTAGCGCATCGAGGACCTGCAACACCAGGCCAGAGGCACTGGCCTTTCTTCAGCGCCGCGCACCGTGTCAGGAACACACGCCGATCCACGCTGGATTCAGGCACCTGGGGCTCAGTTCCGGAGACTGAGGAACACAGAACCCAGCATTTTTTTTATTGTCACGATTGAGAACAATGCTGTTATTTTAATTTCTCAGTGTAAATAAAAGCAAAGGATGGAGACTTCTTACACCCAGGGTTGCCAAGTATTTAGCAAACAGTCCCTGCCTCTTGACCCCGCCCCACCGCATATCAGATACTAAATTTACAATAAGAAAATGTGCATTTCTTCCCTGGGTCATAATACTTACATGAAATAAAGGGGGGGTTGCTTTTTGAAACTGGAATCTTTGGGGATCACTAGCCTCCTTCGCTTTCCATTCCTACCTAGAACTCGAGAATGCGATGCCCCGGGCTTGTGAGGAATTCGTTTGTGGCCCGGGAGCGGGTCCAGGCGGGAGACTCTGCGCCACCGCAGTGCTGGAGTCTCCCGGGGCCAGGCGAGAAAAGGTTTCGTTTGCAACGAAGTGAGAGGCAGACGGATCCCAGCACAGAGGCCAGGGCCAGTCTGCCATTCACCACCCTCCTACTGCAGCCTCCCACCGAAGTGTCAGGACGCTGGGTTTTACACCCACAGCCCAGCAAAGCATCCTTGCGGGAAAATGCAGACGGTCCCTACAGGAACTCTCTTTTTGCCCGACTCAGCATAATTCCCACAGACGGAGAAACTTCACCTTCTCCCAGGTCAGATGGAAGGTCTTACTGAAGTGATGGATTTGGCCCAGTCTGAAAGTTAATGAAGAAAGGTGGAGAGGGAAGAGGGAGACCAAATAAGAGTAACATGTTTTAAATCCCCGAAATGAATAATAAAAGTGGAAAAATATAAACAAAGAAAATAAAATTTTTTAAAAAAAGCCCTCCCAGCTTTTCCTGCTTGGACGCATGTGAGTGTGTTGGCACTTAGAGGCAAACTCCATCCATGGGTGGTGCCGCTCAAGTTTTATTCTGGAGCCATTTGTTTCTGTTTTTTTTTTTTAAATTAAGTTTGGACTTAATAATCCCATCCAAATTGATGTAGTGACTACCCCCCTAGGTGCTCCACTTTAACATCCTGAAACGTAAAATATGTGCAAGGGTCGTCCTCCCTACAAAGCCCAACACTGCAGAAATTTCAAGGTCCGCCAGGGATGGGAGAGACTGTGAGGGAACGAGGAAACCACCCTCCAGCTCCTACTCCTGGGTGTCCACCCTATCGCCACCGCGTACAAGGGAGCACATCTTCATCTTCAAAAACAACCCTGCAGTTGAGGGCATGGGCTAGAGTTTCGGAGACGCCTACCCAGATGCTTCAGCGTCAGAAAACCGCTCCTCAATTTTGGTGATTCCGCCCCTGTCTAAACTCAAAACAAATAATAATAGTCAAAGGGGAGAAAAGGTTTTTTTTAAAAAGGCTCACTGCTCTCTTGTCTAAACATCACACGAGAGATAAATATTTCCATTAAGCTGATTCTGTTCCCAGCGAATCATGTAAAACTGTAAATGCTAACTAACGGTCAAGAGGGGACTCAGAAATGAAAAGGAAAAGAGAAAGCAGAAGGTGCCAAGGATGGAAGAGGACACTCCTTCGGCCTACAAGGAGATTGAGGACATCTATAGGCTTAAGGAGCAACAAATTAATTTGCACAATTCTGGGAGAGCCCAGATGGCCTTTAATTAATCCCTTCAAAAGACGGAGTTAGGCCAGGGCTGCGCCGGCTGCCTGCTCCATTAGCTCCGTTTTACAAGGGACCAGACTCTGCTCGAGGTGAGGTGTCGTGAGCTCTTGGGGGAAGGGGGTAGGGCGAAGGGAACCGGAGAAGGGGGAGGCGTGGGAGGACTATGAACTATTTTTCCATAAAAGGGTTGGGTTTTCATTATTCTTCTCTTTAAAAAGTAATGCCCTCTTCATTTCTGCTCCCCCCGCCCCCCACTTTCCCATTTTATTTAGCACATTAATCCAGGAGTCTACTGGCACCCCTGAGGAACCGCACCACTAGCCAGGCCCCGCCCCCTGGACCCACCCACCGGAGGGATGGAAGTGAGAGGGGGCGGAGACCAGGAGGGCGCGGTTTCACGGCTCCCCCACTTCAGCCAATCAGAAGGCGCGGCGCTCTCGAGAGAACGCGCCCCAGAAGGGACGCAGAGCCGGAGGCTGAGCGCTATTGGAGCCGGTGGTTACGCCTCCGGCCTGCAACTGCTCGTCGGCCCCGCCCCTGCTAGGTGCCTCGGAGTGACGTCCCCCAAAGTTCTTATTTTGGACCCCCACCACCCCCGCCCTTTCGTCCCCCCTCTAAAGAGCGGTAGGGAGTGATGCAAATGTTTTATTACCTTTGAGAGCTTCATCGGAACTGTCAGGCCCGGAGGGAGAGAGCGCAGAGGACGGCGGAGAGGGCCGGCTTGGCCAGCGGACAGGGCTTAGAAGAGCGGAGCCCGTTCTAAAGCCTCGAAGAAAATGAGAGAGAGGAGAGGCAGAAGCGGCGAGTGAGAGGACGCCGGGGGTGTGGGGTGGGGGTCTCCAGGCCGGATTGCTGAAGTGGACTGTCCAGCGGAGCCGTAACCAAAGTCGTCAGACTTCTCACACTTAGTCTTTGCTTTTCTGTATTTTTTCTCCCCCTTTTTCTTTCCAATATTGCAACTCTAGTGCCCCGTCGCCTGAGGGAAAGGCGGCTCGCCGGGCCGAATCCCAGAGCTGCCGAGACGGGTGGCGCTGCGGTTTCTGGCCCGCTCAGGAAGCGCGCCCAGAGGCGAGATCCGCCCGCGGGCCGGTGCGCCCCGGCCCGGTCGCCCCGAGCGCCGAGGGCAAAGCGGCCTCGCGGCCGAATGAGCCAGGCTTCCGAGTCAGATTAGAGGAGCTCCTCGGGCGGAACCCGGCGTCCTTTGAACCTCTGTAAAGAAAGCCAGCCAGCCCCCAACATCAAAGTGCAGATTTGGTGACTCTTAACTTTGTTACAAACTCTCTGGGGCCGGCGTGGGGTTTGTTTTGCTGATTTCCCGGGGGAGAAAATGAGAAGTAGCACAGTTTGAGCGGCGGGGCAAAGTGAGGAAGACAGAAGAGACCTCGACTGAGTCCAGCAGCGGAAGGACAGCCGAACCCGCCCTGACGCCCGCAGGTCTCCGAGAGCCGCCACCTCTCCAGTGGCGTGTTTGTTCATTTTTTTTTTTTTTTTTTTTTTTTTTTTTGCGCAGCTCCGAGAGCAACTCTCGGCGGCAGCGTTCGCGGCCCACTTGGCAGGTCGCCTCTGGGTGCGTGGAGCGGCTTCTTGCTCCAGCCCTCCGCGCTTCTCTCTCCCCTGAGCCCGCCGGGGGCACCAGCCGGCACCCTCGCTTTGTGGCTGCGGGCTGCGGCTTGGCCGTGGGATGTTAGCGGTGGGGGCGATGGAGGGCACCCGGCAGAGCGCTTTCCTGCTCAGCAGCCCGCCCCTGGCCGCCCTCCACAGCATGGCCGAAATGAAGACCCCGCTCTACCCCGCTGCGTACCCCCCGCTGCCCGCCGGTCCCCCCTCCTCTTCCTCCTCGTCCTCCTCGTCGTCGCCCTCACCGCCTTTGGGCACCCACAACCCAGGCGGCCTGAAGCCCCCGGCCGCGGGGGGGCTCTCTTCCCTCGGCAGCCCCCCGCAGCAGCTCTCGGCCGCCACCCCACACGGCATCAACGACATCCTGAGCCGGCCCTCTATGCCCGTGGGCTCAGGGGCAGCCTTGCCCTCCGCCTCGCCCTCGGGTTCCTCCTCCTCTTCTTCCTCGTCCACCTCCGCTTCTTCGGCTTCCGCCGCTGCGGCCGCGGCTGCAGCCGCTGCGGCCGCCGCCTCGTCCCCAGCGGGGCTGCTGGCGGGCCTGCCCCGCTTCAGCAGCCTGAGCCCGCCGCCGCCTCCGCCCGGGCTCTACTTCAGCCCCAGTGCCGCAGCCGTGGCCGCCGTGGGTCGGTACCCCAAGCCACTAGCCGAGCTGCCCGGCCGGACGCCTATCTTCTGGCCGGGAGTGATGCAGAGTCCGCCCTGGAGGGACGCGCGCCTGGCCTGCACCCCTCGTGAGTACGATCGCCCGCGCCCACTTGTGCGCGTTCTGCAGGCGCTCAGGTCAGGACCCCTGGTGTTGGAGAGTCGGTCCTCGCTCTCGCCTCCTTGGTAGTTTGGCAACGCCGGGACGGCCCAGTACAGGCTGGGCCGGGGTATCCAGAGAGGGATTCTCTCTTTCCTGAGCTCCCGCCTCTCCCGCAGCCCTGGGCACGCCTCGAGGAGAGGATGAGCACGCGTCCTCGTGGAGCGCACCACGGTGCGGGGCGTGTGTATCATCTGAGGCCACTGTTGCTCCGGGAACAGCCCGGCCGGAACTTCAGGCCGGCCCTGCGTTAAAGGGGTGGGAGGGCAGGAGAAGCCACTGAGCTCCGCCCGCACCCCTACTTTCCCGGCTCCTGCCTGTTGTCCGGGCCTCCACTCCGCCCTCGCCAGTCTAACTGGCTTCCTCTCTGGGGGCCGGCGGAGACCGGCAACGGCGAGCCCTCCACATCCCCGAGTGGAGGCGGGCGTATTTGCACGTACGTCTCGGCCCAGTTTGTCCTTACTCTAGTTCTTCGCCGCCACTCCCCGCAGTACACTTGGCCGGCAGGCAGGAACCCATTGAAGAAAGGCCCACGGCCTGTGGAGGAGGGTAAGCGGCCCCTCACTGCGGGCCGCTCTCCACCGCTTGTCCCTCGCTTTCCCATCCGCCCTGGCCCCAGAGGGTTGCGACTCCATGGGCCAAACATAGTGAAGGGCGTCGTTTCCCTCACCTTGCTAACACAAGAAAGAACCGTAAGAGAAAAGAGGTGACGGGACAGGAACTAGGGGAATGCAACATCTCGTAGGGACCTTGCTGGAAACCAACTCCGCTGCACCGGGATCCCTCCAGTCTGTGTAGTAGGCAGCCGTGCCCTGGAGTTTCCCAGCCTCTCAGGTGCCGTCTGTGGCCGGGCCCCAGGTCCTTTTCTCGCTTAGTTCTTTGCTTTTGACCGAGTCCCCTAAGTTTCCTCTACGTCTTTCGAGTGCTTTCGTGTGGCTGAGCGGCGCTAACCGAGGCAAGTTGCCGGAGCCAGTGGAGGCTCCCGTGGGAAGCCGGGGAAGGAGGGCGGCGCGGGCGGGTGAGGGTGCGGGGACGCTATTGTGCGCGTTTTGATGGTCGCGTTGGGGCCGCCAACAAAGGCGTCGCCTCCTCTCCCTCAGCCCAGCAGCGTTGGACTTGCGGGCGATTTCGCTCCCTTGTATGCAAAAAAAAACCCACCAAAAACCAAAAACCAAAAAACAAAAAAACCCCAAGGCGCCCATTGTCGTGCGAACATAGGTTAGGAAAGCGTTGAAGGAAAGAAACTAGTCATCCTCCCGCAAGGGGTCGGGGCCCAGCGGCCTTTCCCCGCGCCCCCTCTGCTCCCTGGGGCCTGACTGCTGGGCTTCGGCAGACTTCAGCGACGTGGGGCCGGGCTACCTGACACAGGTGTTAAGCAGAAGGTTATATACTGTTGCTCCAAACACATCCGGCTTTTAAAGCACAGGTCGGATCAAAAGGCAGCCAGGCGCGGTGGGACTGGAAGCCCCACGACACTTTTGGAGTCCGCCGCCAAATAAGCTTTTCTTTTCCACCAAAAGATTTGTTTTGTGAGTTCGTTTCGTTTCGGTGGAGCCACTTGCAACCGATTGTTTTTCCCCTTCCCTTGTTTATTTGTCCTCTCAGATCAAGGATCCATTTTGTTGGACAAAGACGGGAAGAGAAAACACACGAGACCTACGTTCTCCGGCCAGCAGATCTTCGCCCTGGAGAAGACTTTCGAGCAAACGAAATACCTGGCGGGGCCCGAGAGGGCTCGCTTGGCCTATTCTTTGGGGATGACGGAGAGTCAGGTCAAGGTGAGTGGACCTCGCAGCTCAAGGGATAGTCCCCTCCCCTCGTCTAATAAACAGCCTCCTGAGGTGCGAGTCTGAGGGGTCTGGGGAGCAGATGAGGTCAGTGAAGGGGGAGCGGTAAAGACTCTGGGAACCCCGGGGCGAGCAAACTGTTGCAGAACAAAAGGAATAAAGTCCCCCTCCTTTGACATGAGGTTAATCTAGATAGCAGCGTGTGCTGGGGAAACTCACGATTATTAGAGAGTAAAAAGAATTACCAAAATATCAGCCCCGACAATAGATAAGACCAGTGAGATGGCTTCTATTTATTCTATTTGCAAAGGCATTCAGGCTTTTCTTTGTTAATTCAGGCTTCACTAATTACATAATTTCCGGGTGTAGTTTAGCATTATAATGCTACTGCATAGTAACTTGCAGGTTTAAAAACATAAATCCACAGGGCGTAACCCCTGAGCAGGGATGAATCTGCTTTTAGTTTAGCTGAAGGCAATTGCTTCTGCAATAGTATTTTTTCAAATAAATTGATAGGGTTATTACCTTATTATGAAATTGAATTGTTTTAAATAAGTTTATCAACACATGTAAGGTATTTTACTGTTTATGATAACTTAAATTTAAAATGTCACTTAGATTATAATTGAGTTGTACAGCATATTTCCAGGGATTCAAATTTTAGAAATCCTTTCTTGAAAAATAAAGGGATCCAGCTGGATTAATTAAATCTAGTGGCTTCTTATATTTCCAATATTTTCTTTTGATCTTTTTCATTAGTTATATTTGGTTTTGGGGGTGTGTGTGTTTGTGTTTAAGTCTGTTTTCATTAGTCATATTGTTGGTTCTGTAAGTAGGAATAACTGTTAGCTACGTCTGCTGGTTAGAGTCTATTTCCCCTTGGAGAAGCATCATGAAATACACTTAAGGAGTGATTTTGTGTGTGACCATTAGAACACCATCACAGTTACAATTATTTTTGCAGTGACTGGTACAGAGCCTGCCACCATGATCTGGAGGTCTTCATTTGTCACTGTGAATGTGTCTGCGTGGCTTGAAGTGAATTATTATAGCTGTATAAGGAAAATCGAAATCATTTTTATAACAATCTGATTCTCTAGTTAAATACATAGTGAATGAGAAAATGGGTGAGAAGCATTAAAGAGAGGATAACACAGTGTGTTTGGGAAATTGGTTGTTCATCGCTGATGCTTTAAATATGTGTATCAAGTATGGTGTTAAACGTGGTGAGTAGATTTAAAATATTTTTATATAAAATGAATGCATTGGGGAAGAATAATGTTAAAATAATATTTGAAAAACTAGGCATGTTAATAGTGGGAAGTAATGTAACTGGCAATATTTCATTTAAAAAATAACATGAAAACTGTAACCTTGGCTTTCATTTTATGCAAAGCATTAAACCACACACACACTCCACTGTAATGATTTTGACTGAACTATTAAATATTTTCATGCATTTATGTTGGTTATTATTAGTGATTTGAGGTTTCAGGTTTAGCAAATTAAATAAAAACTATGTGATTGCAAGTGTAAGTGGGGAGGGGCTTTTTAACCATGCTTGTGTATATTCAGACCTGAGACAAAAGTGAAGGGGAGAACGGAGGTGGGGGGGGTGCTCTGCCTTGTCCCACAAGTCACAATAAAGTGCCAGTACACTTAGATTATTTGGAATACCTTAATCTAAGAAAGTAAATCACGAATAAAAATCACAGTCATTATGGGGCAGCTTTGAAAGAAGAAAATTTTTCCATTTTAAACTAGAAAGTAAGAAAGTGCACTTATTTTTAGGGACATTCATTTTACATTTCCAAGTTTTTTCTCTTCTGAGAAATGGCTCAAAGACAACCTCAATACATTTGTGTTACTATCGCTATGGCAACGGCAGTCCGTTTGTTGGTGCGTGTGACTCAGAAGAACCTGGGGCTTCTGAGACTGACTTTGACGGCTCAGACCTGGGAATCTCTGAGGGAGGGCGGCAAGCCAGGGGCCCGCCGGAGCGCCCGCGGGACGTGGGAGAAGTTGCGCTGCTGGATCTGCTGGTCTTCAATTCCTGCCGCCTTTGTTTCCCCTCTCCTCCCCTGGGTCCGCCCGCAGGTCTGGTTCCAGAACCGCCGGACCAAGTGGAGGAAGAAGCATGCGGCGGAGATGGCCACCGCCAAGAAGAAGCAGGACTCGGAGACTGAGCGGCTCAAGGGGACTTCGGAGAACGAGGAGGAGGACGACGACTACAACAAGCCCTTGGACCCCAACTCAGACGACGAGAAAATCACGCAACTGCTGAAGAAGCACAAGTCCGGTGGCGGTGGCCTCCTGCTGCACGGGTCCGAGACGGACGGCGCGTCCTGAGAGCCACTGCCAGGCCGCCGCCTCCTCCGGGGCCGCGGGGCCGCGGGGCCGCGAGCCCTGCCTTCCCGCCCCGCCTGCTGGGTCCTTTGCTATTTTGAGATGTACATATCTATTTTTTTAACCTAGAAGTTGAGGAAGGAGGGGAGGGGAGGAGAGACTCGGGGTCGGTGAGAAGGCGGAAAAGACAACGAAATGTGATGCGTCAAGAACGCAACTGAAACTTGCAGCCGGACCACCCTCCCAGGTCCCCTGGGTACACTAACCCCTTACCCCGCGGTGGGAGCCGCCTCGGTCCCTGCCCACTCACGCGTCCCTGCCCCAGCGCTGGCCAGGGGCGGGGGTGGGGGGGGGCTCAGGGAAGGCTTTTCGAAGGATGGACACCCACTGTGCTGGGAACCTCGGAACTAAGCGCGCGGGCAGCCGCCTCAGATGGGAAGAGGGACGTTTCTCTCTCCCCTACAAACTGTTGTGCGGACTAAAGTAACCTGTTGAAGGCCCTTTGTAAATAAATCGTGAGTCACACTGACTAGAAATTACTTTATTATTAATATTTAAAGTGTAAAACGCTTTTTTTTGAATTTGGTATAAAAAGATGGACATCCTTCCTTCTCTCTATCCCTTTTAAAAGCTGTTCAAACCACACGTTCCCCTTTTATTCTGAACGTCATTGGAGAAGCATAGAAAAGAATATCCTCAGCTTCCCTCTCCAGCTACTCTGCCGGGTTTGGGTTTGTAGTACCTCATTTCCCCCTCGTCCCTTCTCGATTTTCCCGACCACCCCAGTCCCCCACCCCCTCCAGCCTCTTGCGTCCAGGACTTGAAGTAGAAGACGTGGAACTAGGAAAGGCCCCAGACCTGCCTCTTGGTTCCTCTCTGAAATTGCACAGTCGTTTGTTGCTATTTATTAGTGATTTAAAGAAAGTATTGGGAAGGGAGGGGCTACATAGCTTGTATTTAATTTAACTCCTTTCTTATAAAAATGCGTGTTAAAGTAGATGGTGGGAATCGTTACAACTGCTTTGGGTCAGAAACATAAAAATCCATTTAGTTGCTATAATTGAATTTGAAGTGTTTTGTATGATAATACTACAGACTGTAAATTGTTTTCTTTTTTAAGCTAATAACGGTGATATATTAGCATCTTTAACTTTTATTAATTTATATAAGGATTTGGTTTGTAAAGAGAAAAGATCCCCCCTTGCAGGACCAGTTAAATGTAATGCACTTTGTTTCAAAGGATAAATCAAATTAAAAAAAAAAAGTTCGAACACGTCTGTTGCCTTGAATGAAAGAATCCAGATCATCTGATCTCCTCAGAGATCTCAAGTAAAAGTCAAGACCAGAAAAATCTTATACTGGTTTCTTGGGTAAAAATAGTTGCATTGTTATTATTATTAAAAGTGGCATCATCTCTCTCATTCTTCTGGATCGGGAAGATACAGGAAATGCAGATTTACTCATAGGGCTTCTTGGAGAAACGTCTCAAAAGCTGATCTGATGTCTGTGCTGTCAAGTTTTTCCTGATGACTTTTTCTTTTGCAAGGAAGTTCCTGGGGAGTTTTGGGAAAACCTTATTTCCAAATATCCAAGGTAGCTCCTCAGGCAAGCCTAGATCTCTTAGCTTAGAGGAGTCAGTGAAGCTTGATGACCTCGCAGCAACTGCTATTTGATGCTAACGTTTTGCTCACACTATAGCTCGCAAGAATGCAGAATTTGGAAAGACAGGAGCTCTGATTTTGCTAACTATTACAATTTAAAATAATGAATTTAAAGAAAACTTCTAACTAATGTGAAGGCTGTAGGATTAAGGGAGCAATGCAAAGGCTTCTACAGATAAATTTGCATGAGAGAGAGAGAGAGAGAGAACTAGGAATCCCAGGGAGAGGGAGGTATCACTGTCTTGGGATCCTTTAGTTTTTAGACCCTCAATTTTAAGCTCAGTGAAATATAGTTACTTCGTTAGTGTTTCAGGTTAATGAGCTTGTGTTCAAAGACAGAAAAATCAATAGAATTCAGTAGATTCTTCAGACTAGTGTCCAGTAAAGTGTGGACTTGTTTTGTTCATCTTGAAAATAACTTTTAAAAACATTGTAAAGGCTGGGAATAAAATCATGAAAACTGAGAATGAAAACTGCCAGAAGGAAATTATTATAAAATATATTTCTGATGGCATTGTTTAGTGGGAAGAAAGGATGCAAATCTTCCTTATTTCTGTTCTCTAGTTTACCTGTAAAGTTCCCAATAAATGCCAAACTTTAAAATTTCTGTGTTCTTAGCAAGACTAAGGTCTGTGACCTATAGAGAGGCTATTTCAAAAGAGGCCTTGCTCTGCTGCGGTGAGGTAATTTAAATCTTAGCTGTGAACATTCAGAACTTCCTTCCTTCCTTCCTTCCTTCCTTCCTTCCTTCCTTCCTTCCTTCCTTCCTTTCCTTCCTTCCTAACCTTTATTCCTCCTTTCTTCTCCTCTCTCCTTGTCCTCCTCTCTCCCTCTATCTATGAAAGAATCTGGGAAAGAGCAAGTTTACCAGCCTAATACTTCATTTTAATTTTATTAATTTGCAAAAAAATGGAAGTTTTTCATCTACTTTACTAACTTTTACCCACCTTTCTTCTGATTTGAAAAGCCAAACAACTTAACTTTTTTTTAAAATTTCACAATGTAATTGTGAAAAATTCACAATGTAGTTAGGAATGCTACTTCTGGCATAATAACTATTATTGCTATCATTATTGTTGTTAGCAGTAATATAGTAGTGTCATTCATAGAAAACTTGGAACTGAGATTAAACCTTTTTCTCAAGTAAATTAAGTTAGAGTATTTATTTCTAGTTAGTAATATGCAAAAACACCTCTTCTGATTCCTTTAGTGAACATTCTCTCAGAACTGTTCACCTTTACATTTAGATACACATCTGAGAAATGTAAATGCTGGTGGCCTGGCCTCCCCCCTGCAGGCCAGTATGCAGAGGGCAGACAGGGTCTGCATTATTGCCAGTCTGGGCACTGAAGTACTTTGAGTTCTGTGGGCAGCAGCCTGAGCTGGGCTCCGGGACCATACTGCACTGGCATTCACTTCTTTTTCCAGTTGATTGCAGCAGTGACTTGAGATTCCAGTTCATTTATTTCCACCCAGGATTCCAGCTGGCCCCATGAAACTGGGAGTGATGGAGAAGTGGGTGGGGGGATACTTTTCTTAGGTGTCCCTTTATCCTGGTCGGTTTGGTTTAGTTCTGTAGGATGTTTTTCACAAGAGTTAGCATAGTGGGGAAACTGAGGAAACATTCTATGTAGCTCAAGCAAGGGAGAGTAAGAATCATTTTTCATTTTGGCTCAAATTTTTTATGTCCTTAACCATCCCTAAGCATCTGATTAAGGCTGTTAGCCAGTCTTTACAGCTAAAAAGATTATAATTTTAAAACAAAAAATAACAACAAATGACCTGATGGACCACTGCTTTCATTTTTAATTCTTTTCCAGTTTTAAAATATAATTGATATAACATTGTATGAGTTCAAGATGTACAGCATAATTATTTGATATGTTATGAGTATGTATTGTGAAATGATTATCACAATAAGTTTGGTTAACAGCTATAACCTTTTTCTTTGTAATGAGAACTTTAAAGATCTACTCTTTTAGGAACCTTCTAATATATATGTTCAGTATGGTTAACTATAGTGACAATCCTACACAAGACATCCCCAGATATTTTGTACCTTTTGACCACCTTTACCCATTCCACCCCTTGCCCCCAACTCAACCATTACTTTAAAAAATACTTATAGGCAGCAAAATGTCAACATGGAAAACAAAAGGGGAAAAACAAGATTTGTGTGTGTATGGTGAAGGAAGGGTAAAAATGCTTGTTTTTAATTTTTAATTTTTGTTTTACTGTGTGTGTGTATCTTTCCTAAAAAGGAGGTTGGGTGAGGACTATAGAGTACAGGGAAAGGGCCACGTGTGTGTGGAGGAGGTCTCACGGATGGCCCGGCAGCACTCACAATGTGCAGCCTCCTACTCTGTTGTCTTCCCAGATCCCACAGTCCAAGCTCATTTCTAATTGGTGGTTAACCTTTTCTTTGTTTGATATTCAGAGGATCCTGAAACTTAAAGCTATACACCTTCTTTCCCAGAAGCTGTGGTTTACTGAGCATCTTTCCAAGCTATAAACAATATAATCTATATTCCCTTTACTTTTCTGGGAGACAATGGGAAGAGGAGCAACTGAAAATTACTCATTCTTCTCTGGAAAGAGAAGAAATGTGTATTTCTTCATTGCTCAGTGTGTAGGCAGTTTGGACTGAAGGCTAACTCTTCTTGAAATACTATACTAGGTAATGGAGTCTGAAGGTGCATTTGAAACCATTTAGAGTGTGATATCATGTATATGAGAATGCTATTAGACCAGCACCAACTTCAGTAGATTCACACTGGCCTGTCCTTTAAGGTGGTCATCATCTGGGAGGGACATGCACACACACAAGAGAGGTGAAATTGTACTTGGGAGCTCCTAGAACTAATAGCTTAAAGATACTGTGACTTATTTTGTCGCCACTGACAATAGGATGGTATGATAACAACAGAAGTTATAGATTTCATCTATAGACTCTATTTTAGGGTAATTTGAATAGATTTCTCTGCACTAGATTTCATCCTTCTTTTTTTTTTTTTTAGATTTCATCCTTCTTAATGGACGCACAAATACTCCAAAAAAGCACTCCTTCCCTCCACAGTATGACTCTTTTTGAAAGGCCAGTTTCTCAGTACATTTCCTTTTTCAACAAGAAATTGTGCGTCTTGTTCTCTAGTGTTTACACTGCAATCTTAACATAGAAATGCATTCTCCCTGTAGCCCTTCTTAAGATCTGCAGAAAACAATAATATAGCCTCCCCCATATAAATGTAAAGCTTGATTGGAAAGTGGAGTGATGATGTGGGCGAGATGACCACAGAGATGGGATATTTTCCTGGATTTTAGCCTTCAGCACTCCATGGATTG